TTCATTTTTTTGATTCTTTGTATTTTCTATTATTAAAAATTTTATTATTTAACTATGACATCATTTCATTTCTAGGTAGATTTTGAATTTGGCATTCTATTTTCATCATTAATAAAAATACTTCTTATATTTCATAGTTACTTATTTTAAATATTTATTATTTAATTATGACATTATTTATTAATCCATTTGACCCCAAATGGTCGAATTGTTTACCCACCACCGGGAGAAAAGAAAATGGTTTTATTTTCAAATTACTTTTCAAAATATTTATTTTTATACTATTAAAACTAATATTGTGGATTTAACTACAAGAATTTAATGATGAGAAAAATATATCTTAAATATAGGATTTAATGAGAGATAATAGGAAAATATTTTTATTTCCAATTGGTTTTAAATTTTATATTCCATTTCCATCATTAATAAAAATATTTATTATTTATCATACTTATTATTGTTTGATATGTATGCTAAAAATGTCCCCAATTTTTTTTATTTCTATTTTTTTATTTTATCTATTTTTAATTTTATTATTTAATCATGGCAACATGTATTAACCCATTTGACACAAAATGATCTAATTTCTTACCACCGCATAGATGAAAACACTATTTTTGCTAGGTAGATTTTAAAAGTATAAGCTTTTATGTTATTGGAATTATTAATTTATTAAGTATGAATTTAATTAATAGAACTTAATGATGAGAAGAAACAAAAATGACTTAAATATATGATTCAATGAATATGAATGCAAGTTAATAACTTAAATGTTGGATTTAATGAGAGAGAATTGAATGCATTGAATATCTTTAAATTACTTCTTTCCAACTCATTTAATATTGAGAACCGATTGCCCTATTTGCCCTCATTTTTTTTATCAAATTTAAATATAGAGGGGTAAATTTTGTCCTTAGAAAATTCCAGAAATATTCTTGAGGCAATTCATGCTTTTTAAAGTAGTATAGATATATATTATCGACAATAAACCTGAAAACTGAAATCGAAACCGAAATTTTCGGTTTTAATCGAATAATGCTCACCCCTAGTTAATGGCGTCTTCTTTGGGTTGAGTTTCTTGTTTGTTTTGTTTATAATCTTGCATCTATCAATTGAATAGTTAAATTTCATTTTTTTCACTTTTTTCTTTTTTACAAGTTTTAAAAAATGAATTTTTGAGCACACATGTGAGATGGGGAGACATGTGGAGTGTGATGTGGTTGAATCTAATTGGAAGTGCGCCACGTTCCACACCAAAACGAGTGCAGGAGATATGGGTTCATTGTCTTAAGACTTCACAGTCATGCCCACATGTGTGTGTGTGTCGGAAAGGCATAAAGACTTTGACCAATCAAACCCTCCATATTATTTTATGCCTAGATTATCTTTTTATTTCAGTTTTAAAATTAAAAATGGGGATTTGATGCCAAAAATGGTGATTTTTTGGCTTCAGAACGCATAGATCTTGAAAAGTTGCCTGAAATCCAAAAAAAAAAAAGAAGAAAAAAATCATGGCTTATGGAAGTTTTCAATACATATTGAGTTGTAATTTGTGACTCGTGACTAGGTCAAGTGGGTCAATGGTTCAAACTGCCCAAGTAATATGGATTTTGATAAAAGAAATGATTTTTGGTCAATTTTTAGGTTTTGGGAAAACTGGAACCAGAAATGTGACTTGTGACATTTCAAATGCTTCAATTATTTGAGTAAACAGTGGTTTGAAAACATTGGCCTTGGCTATAGTGTCAAAACATCATCCTCGATGGGATAAGAAATCAACAATGCTAATTTTAAACACAAATATTCTCTTGTATATGATGGTGGTGCCTTATTTTTTCAATTGTTGGATTATGTTGTAATCTAACAGTTCATGTAGTCTAGGTTAAAGTGGGTTTTACATATAAATTGTTTTTTTTTTTTATAATGTTGGTTTTTTTTTGCTACTATATAATGTTAGATTTGGAGCCTGCTCTTTTTCTTGTTGAAAAAATAAAGAGAGGTTGAGAGAATGAGTGCTTTTGATGCAAACGTGGGGTTTTTTTTCTTAGGTTAAGGAATGGAGAATAGATGCACAAGAGTTGATGATTGATTTAGGTTGAAAACTATACTATACCATATAATGTTTTTCATTTTTTTTAACGATTTTCTTCTCTCCTATGGATGTGAGTGACAAGGCTGATGTTGCAATTTTGGGTAGGATGTAACATTGTTTTGTTTGCTTCGAGGGAGATGAAAGGCCTCATAGGCTCATAGGAACCTTTAACGGCTTAAGGATAAAATTCTTGAATGATGATGATTTACAATGAAACAATGAAAACATATATACAGACTCCAACACTCACACAACTACCTACCCATAATCCATTACATACATACGTGACCCACTATGGCACACACACATTCTCTCTTTCTCTTCCTCTCTCTACTAATTGACCCATAATAACTCATAATGAGTAAAAAACAACTTTCTCAAGTGGACCCACATGGCTTTCTACTCCATGTATGAACCACGACAATGCTAACCAAATATAGACACTCGCTACACTAAGGTGGTGTTTGATAAATCTGAAACTTGAAATCTAAAATGTTAAAAAAATATATTAAAAATGTCTGAAATTTGAAAAGAGACATAGATGCTTTTTGACTTTTTAGAGGTTCTAGATATTGAAGGTTATTTGTGTTAGATCAAACCTTCAATATCTGAAATTCCCTGATTTACTATTTTACCCCTAAATAGACGACTTGGTAATTTTGAGTCCAATTTGTTCTATTTCATAAAAAAAGTTATTAAATTCAAAATAATATTGAAAAATATGAATAAATTATAAAAGTACAAAAAATAATTTATTAAAATAAGAATAAAATTAAAAATACATATAAATTTATAAATTAAAAATAAATTATTAAAAGTTAAAATATTAATAAAGTCCATGAAACAATGAAAAAATATTTAATAGTTAGCAAATTAATACCTTTAAACTATTAAACTATTTAATAATTAATACAAATAAAAGTTATAAAAAATTAATTTATTAAAATAAGAATAAAATTGGAAATTATGTATAGGAAGACTGGGGAGAGGGTGTTAACCATTGTTGTTGAGAGTTGTAGCGGCAGTAGCAAGAATATGGGGTAGAGAGACCACAAGTGGCTCATCACGGAAGAAGTAAAGGAAGAACCAAGCCACAAACACGACATTCCTAAATGAAGTTGCCGTTCATGAGTAGAGTTACAGAGAATGTTGGGGCAGAGAACACTAGGGACAAATCTGTGAGTTCCCTCCATGGGTGCTGTGTGGATTTGCGAATTCCCTTCGGACGGATTTGCGGATTTGTGAAGTAGATGATGTAGAGAATATCAAAGAAGAAGAAGAGAGGGGGGAGAGAGAGAAGGGCGGAGGGAGAAGCTTGTGCCGCTAGTCGCAATGCTACCTGAAGCCACAACGAAAATGGAGAAAAAAAAACAAATAAGCAGAAAATGTTGGAATGCTAAAAACCCTAGAAAAAATAACAAAAATGAGACATGTTGAGTCGAAGAACATACCTGCAAGCAAAACTTCCTAGCAACAAATCTCCTTTCTCGAACCAGGGGAGGAGTTGAATGACCTGAATTTTTAGCTTATATGAAGGGCATTATGGGTCATTTCAAATTTGTATGGGGGTTCTTTTGTCTTTCAGTCACGCCTGAATGCCTCTTAGCGCATAAAGCACATGGGGAGGCTCTTTTCTATTTAGATCTGAAATTAGGTTTCAGATCTGCTAATCAGACCCAACCCAAACGTAGCTGGCATTTGAAAAGCAACATTTTCAGACTTCAGAGATTTAAAAAGTGCTATCAAATGCCACCTAACTCTTCCAACTTAAACCACATATAATAAGTGGGTGCACTAATGGGCCCATTTGTTAAACATGTAGCGGATGAACAGCATAAATTCTTTTCTGTTCTTAGCAGTCCTTGTTTCTTTTGTTTTTACATGGATTTCATTTATTTTTATCGATATTGGATTCTTTTGGATGTTATTTCATTTCAAACACTTCATGGTTTTATCTTATGGATGGTTATTGTTAATTGAACAAATGGTATCGGAACTGGTGGTTTAGTTTTATGCAAATTTTGATGGATGCATGTAATGACTTTGCTAGTTTTCCATGCTCAAATAGTTGGTGAGACTTGAGAGCAGTTAGTAAATGGTTTGCAAGAGAAGTTAGTGACTCCTATGGCTTCTCTACCCTCCATCAGTTTATGGTTGAGTGTATTCGGATAAAGTGAGTGGGGAAGTCATTGAGATTCACTTGTGAGTGGATGATGTCTTCTTACCTGGAAAAGGGAGGTTATAAGAGAGAAAGGACGTATATAAGAAAAGGTGGCCTATAACCTGTTAGCTTAGATTTTTGGGTTAGAGCTAATCAAGGTTTTAAAAATCAACCCGGAATTAGAATCATTTTGACCATTGGTTTTTAGGTCAATGGTTCAATCATCTGGTTTGAACAAACGGCCTATTCTAACTTAAAAATAAAAAAATTAAAGAAATAAAAAATAGAAAAAAAACTATTGAATGGATCAAACAAGTTGACAATTTGATTGCCTGGGTCACTGTATCGCTGACCAATTCAATGGTTTTTAGTCGGGAACTGGGCTTAGAGTAAAATGAAACCGATTGCTTGAATGATTCGTAAGCCAAATGGTCTGACCATCCGGGTCAATAGTGGTTCAAAAACATTGTCCCCAACAATATACTACAGTGCAAAATGGAAGACATTGGGCTCATAGTGCAACGTGATTGAACGAGAAATAGAAATTTAGAACGGTAAGGATCCGAACTCTAAGTAGTACTACATACTACTAGCAACTTAGTAACTGCTGAGTGGCTAACATTTCTGGTTGGTCCTGGTCGGCTAATTAATTACTCAAACCCAAATGTTCCGAACCGGGCAATTTGGTCATTTCATGAAAACACTTACGATCGCAAATCGCAAATCGCAAATCGCAAATCGCAAATCGCAAGTCGCAACTCGCAATTACTCAAGCCTTCTCTTGTCGTGCTTTCGTTCCATTTTAGGGTTAAAGAGAGCCTTTAGCTTTGTTCTCTGACATCTTTGTTTCATTGCTTTCTTTCCTTTTTAGGATTAAGGGAGCCTTCCACCGGCCACCGCCTAGGGCCTTTGGATAGTGGATTCGGTTTTCTCTATCTGGGTTGTTCTGACCTTTCTGTTGATCCTTTTGATCTGCTTATCTCCCTTTCTCTTCTGCACACGACAGAGTTCCGGGCTTTTGCGCCCTGTAGCCGTTGAAATCCATGATCATCGGCGCTCAATGGATCCATCTTTAGTCCAATCCACTCCTTCAATCGAAGAAGATGAGTGGGGTAAGTTTCTTCTCTTTTTCTTTCCGAATTTCCCACTCGCACGATACAGATATTTTGATATCATTGCAAGTATTATATTCTTTTTGAATTTGAATGTTCATAGATCAATTCGTAATCTGGCTTTTCGGATTTTAGTTCTGATAATGCTGCCTTTGTGCAGAAATTCTGTTTTTATTTTGCCAATGCCGGTGATTGAGGGAAAATCATGGCTGCGGTATTGTATTAAGATGTGATATTTTAATTGGAAAAGCATATGATTTTCTGTTTTATTAATACGTATTATGGGTTGATCCATAAAGCAGATTTTGAATGTTCAGTATTTTGTGGAATTCTCATGTGGGTTTGATTGGTTCTCACTGATGTTGGATTTGAATTAGTATTACTATTTTGTGGATAATTGGTACTGTTTTTTCCCATTGGCTTTATGTCAATATTGTGATGGGTTTCACTATTGGTGTGATGCTGAGTCACTGATTTGGTTAAAATTTGTGGGGTTTAGTTTTGTGGTAATTATTTTCGATCTTAGGGGAATGGTAAGGAATTTTATTGTAAGAAAACCTAACATTTTAGTGTCGAAGGCATGATCATAAGCTATTACATGCTATCATCGGTTACCATAATCATTGTGCTCCCTCCTAGACATTATTTTACCAAACATCCCCTCCCCGAGGTTCTTCCGTTAGCTCAAGTTCCATTCAACACTGTAATAGGAGTCAAGGTTCTCGTTAAAATTGTTTATCTTTCCCAAGTGATATTCATAATCATCTCAGCAATTATAGGTACACCCCATTAGAACTTCAAAGATAAATTTGATCAATGTAGCTATTCCTGTAAGCATACTTCAAAAATAAAGGTTTGTGGAACTTGAAGCTGGTTGAATTGTCTTCATTGCTGCCAAATATCATGGGTTAATTTATTTTTATTTTATAATAGAAAAGGAGGACATTGTCAAGTTTGAAATCTTAATAATGAAGCATGTATTTCCATGGTTTTCTTCATTTTGCCTGGGCACTGGCTAGCCAACTCACTTCACCTAGTGAGGCCACGATGATTAGGCATCACATTGACTATCTTGTTATTGTGTTTTCTTCACTGAACCTTCTTTGTAGGCTCACTAGGCTGTTCTTTTTGCATCCTGCATGCTATATTTTTGGGAAAACAAATCAGGGCAGCACAGGCTGGATAGCAACCATGGGTAGTAGCATCCCCAAGAACATCTGGGATATTAACAAACTCGTTCAGTGTTTTCAAACCCATGTTGACTTTGGCTGTAGATCCGGTAACCAGGACAGATAATGAGTTTTTTTATTTTTTATTTTTATTATTTATTATTTATTATTTTTGACTGTTTTTTTCTTTAGAACAAGCTAAATAGCTAATTGACTGCTTGAACGACTAAACTAGTGATCTTTTCTGCCTTGCTTTTTGATGTCAAGGTCAGTTTTAAAAACATTACTGAAATGTAATCCACTCATCCTTAGTGTCTTCGGAGCTATGACCACACACCATAACTTTTAACTACACTTCCAAGAAGGTTTTGGTTATATAGATGCTTCATGAATAAATAGGCTTTTTTCCTCTTCTCAGTTGGCTTTTGTTGTAGAAAGTTAACCAAAGGCTGACAAATTTGCCTAGACACTTTCACCAGTTCCCTTTCTACATACAATAAAGTGTCCCAGTCAAGGTCAGTGCTTTCCAGTTTGAACCTTAAAACTCCAAAAAAAGGGAAAAGATCCAGTTTGAGTTTTTTTTCTTCTTCAAAGTAGACATTTGAACCATCCTCCTACTTGCCGCATTGTTGATACAAAGCAAATTTCATATATTGTAGGTATGAATCTTTAGCCTTTTCAAAGCAAAAATTATATAAACTCCTACCACCTAAAAATTTGGATGAAGTCCTTTCTTTTCTTGTAGTTGGTTGTTGATGTGACTATATATGCCTATTTATAGTCAAAGCAGAAGATCTTGTGCTCCTTACAGAAATAAGCACCAGATAATGGTTCATCAGAATTTTATTGTATAATAAGAGAAAAGCCATGCTTAGCTAGGTCAGTTCCAAGTACATACAAAAAAAAATCATATGCTACTTCCAATATTATAACTGTCCTCCTAGATCAGGCAATTTAGCTCCTTCCTTCTTGTAAGTCAGCTGAAAAGTTTGCACTCCTTTGGATCCATTTAAGTGTTTAATCTGGATTTCAAGGATCTTGCTTTTTTTATTCTATGGTTATGGATTCAAGGCGTTTATCTATTGCCCATTAGCTGACTAAGTACAAGTGTACAACACTAGAATCTCTTTCGATTTCAAGTTCTAAATAGCCCAAAGACAGCTAATCTCTATCCATCATGACAGAAAATAATTTGGTACAAATTGAATTATGGATCCCAATTAGACCAGTGTATGTTAAGATTTTACCTGCTGAATTTCTGATTTTGCTTCCAAATCCTGAAATTCCAGGTTTCTCTAAGGCTCAGTTTGGAAAGAGAACATTATTACAAATATAATTATGTACAGTACAAATGTATACAAAATGCAAGGTTTTGCATTCTACGTATTTGTATTTGTACTCCTTCCAAACTGAGCCTAAGGCTCCGTTTGTTTGCGATACAAATGCCGAGCTGGGGTATTTATGTACCCTGGTTCGCGTTTGTGAGTGTTTGTTTGATATGTAAAAAAGTAATGATTATCAGATCAAAAATGTATTTTCTGACACTTTTGTACTCTGAGAAGAGAGCATTACTGTACCTATTATTTGGATACAATTTTGTGTTCTTTTGATAATTAATTTTTTGACCAAAGTTGAGGCATTGGAGCATTTAATGATGGGCCCACACTTTGCACCAATTTCAAACAAACAAGATGAGTGCAAAAATAGTTTAAAATGTGAACCGTGTTTGCATTCATGAACCGAAAAAAGAGTAAATATGTAGTGTACATATTTTCATTTGCATTGCAACCAAACGCAGCCTAAGCTGCATTCAATAAGCAGTTGATGGTATTTGCTATGCTCTTTCCTTGTGTAGGAGGCGTATTAAGTTTAAGGAAACTTTATTCAGACCAGATGCTTGTTCCACTGAGTGCATACCTTGATTTATGAAGAAAATTTTGGTGTAAAACCCTTGGTGTGTGTGCAAAGCTAAACCCTTATTTGGAACATTTTAGAATTAAGATATTGGAACCTTAAATGGTTCCTACCGCCAGGGTGGGGGGGACTCTAACACAAGGTGGGATATGGGGTTGATGCTTAGTTTGGAAGAGTGCAAATGCAAATATGTACAGTGCAAATACAAGGTTTATAAATACTGTATATAAGGTTTTGCACTGTACATATTTGCATATGCACTGTTCTCAAACTGAGCCTGATGTGCACTGGGGGGGGGGACAAAGGAGTGGCTGATGAATTGGGTACTCAATCCAGTAGCTTCAGGAGGAATATTTTTCAATTGGTGCAGTGTGAATTTGTTAAATTGAGGCAGTCGGTACTCAAAATTGGTGGATTGGGGCTTTGGGCCAGTACTAATTTTTCGTTGCTTGCTTTTCCTTTTTTTTTTTTAAAAGTATACCTATTTTTCTTCTATCCATTTGGTCTCCATGTGATCTTATGCCAATCTCTTGCATGCTCTTTTATGTTGTTTATTTTACTATTATAATCACTAGAAGTAAGGGTGTCAATAGACCGGTTTTGGATTGGACCCTGTCCAGTCCAAAATCATTTTGGACGGACCAACAAGACATATTGGATTGGATCAATCCGATCCAAAATATTTATTAGATTGGATTGGACCTAGTCCGTCCGTAACAAATTTATATTAGATTGGGTTGGATTAAGCCAATATCTGGTCCATTAATATAAGAGAAGAATATATGTGTCAATGGATTGAGTTTGAGTTGAAACCAATCTAAATCAAAATGAATTTGAATAGATTGGATGGTCCAGACATTGAATTGAACCGGTCTAAATTGGTCCAAAACATTCATTGGATTGGACCTGGTCCATTTATAATGGACTCACATTGGACTGGACCGGATTGGACCAAATCCAGTCCAATTGGCACCCCTAGTCTAGAAGCATGCTTACCTTATTAGAGACTGGCATAAAAAAATGCTCCATATACTGATGGGTTCGTGATCCCAAGTCATATTGACAGCGTTGCACCTTACTCTTTGTTCCAGATACTGATGGGTTCGTGATCCCAAGCCTGGACATAGGAGACTCAGAACAAAACAAGGAAGATGTTCAGAAACTGAGGGACTTGAAACCTGCAGCTCCAAAGGTCAGTACCAAAAAAAAAAAGAAAAAAAAAAGAGGTTTTAGTTGGAAGGAAGTTCTCTAGCATGTTTGAACATTATTATTCACTAGTACAAGGGCTTATGCTATGCAAGTATGCAGGTAAAGAGTGAAGATACAAGTAGTTAATATTATATAATGAAATTAAATTTTTATGACCTGCACCAGAACGAAGGCAAATATTTGCTTTATATATAGATATAGATAGGTGTGAAAGAACCAATATTATGGTGTCAAATGCGGTTAATTTTTGAACTCATCTAAGACCTGTATGCATATCTATTGCACTGGAGCAGGCCAAAAAGGAAGAGGAGAAGATATACTTGGGTCCTCACGGGGCTCCTCCTTCGCAAGTAAAGCAGCAGGAGCTGAACGTGACTGGCCGGAAGCAGCGGTTCAAGCAGAAGCTGAAAGAAGCGGATAGGAAGTTCATAGGAACAGGGCGTGATAATAAGGTGGATACTCTGCGAGAGCTCGTCGGCAGTGGCAAAGCAGGTGGTACCATGTCCAAGGGTTCTCCTCGGGATTGGCTTGACCCACATTGTCATGAGTCTCAATTCGAGAGGTATTCTCAGTAGGTACTCTGCTCTAGTAGCTTAAGATAACTTCGGCTTTCTGGGTCTCTCTCTCTCTCTCTCTCTCGCTCTCCCAGCAGTCCAGCACAAACTGTAGGGGTTACGGAGGTATTCTCAATAGGTAGTCTGTTCTATAGTAGCTTAAGATAAATTTGATTTCCTGGGTCTCTCTCTCTCTCTTTCACAGTACAAACTGTAGCGGTTATGTATCTTGGTTTCGTGGTCTGGTTATTTAGAGATAATACAATTATTGTCTATTTATCTAAGAACCAATACCGCCTGCTTGGTATCTCTCTCGGGTAAGCCTGCATACTAAATGTTTTAAGCATCACCCAAAAATCCGAGGATCGATTATATTAGCTTGTGTGAAACATACGGTAGAGAAAAACCTCAGCCTCTCATTCCTGGGAGCTTAGGTTTCCTGACCGGATTCCGCACTTACTATACACATGGGTCCTACACCTATTGTACTGTCGTATTTCTACAATGTCGAGGAGAATGATGTGTCAGATTTGAACCGTCTACGTAATTACTCTGGATTTGGCTGGTGTCATGCAGTCATGGTTTAAAATATACACCCAAATGTATCGGCAGGAGTGTATCGTTACAATTTTCGGTCATATTTTTAATTTTTTCCAAATTTTTTATATGTTTTTATATTATTTAATTTAATTAATAAAAATTGAGTTTATGGGAACGCCTGTAAATAGGTGTAAGTAGACCCGTATCCCCTGAATCGTGCATATATGCATTAGTGTTGTATTAGCTGATATGCACGACAGATTGTGATTTGAACCAAAGCGACTAAACGTTTAAGCACCAAGGCCGTCCTTAAACCAATAAGCCAACCTTTAACTTTTAATAGCAAGTGAAATGAGATATCTTTTATTTTAACGTTTACATGTAAGTTAAACAAATAACATGTATTGTTGTTCAACTTCAATTAAAGACTAAAATAAATCAATATTTTGTAAATTAATAGAATAAATAATTTTCAAATCAACATTTATCTCAAAAAATGGTTTTTAATATCAAGAAATTTATACAAATAAAAATATTAATAATAGAATTTAGTAAAATAATAAAATAGAAAATAATTGATATAATAATTCACATATGATAGTTGCATATATTTTTTGTCTTAAAATTCATTTATTTATTAATGATATATATATATATATATATATATATATATATACATATGTAGGCATGTATGTATTCTTGATTGATACATTATCAATAAAATTTTATAGTTTCTATGTATCCCACTATATTAGTTGCATTATATTTTTTCACATATACCTTTTTGATATACATTTCTATGTATCTATACATAAATTATAACTATTTTGACCTTAAATATAATATTATTAATATATTTATGGAATTTATATGTATTTTTCGGCATATCCATATTTCATCTATATCTATGCGTTTCCAAAGCATATCCATATCCACATCCATATGGTTTGATACGATAATTGATTTTGATACTTTAATCTTTGATTTTAAAGGAATTTCATATCAATAGGAACCAAGACAAGATCACAACAGTCCAAGAAAGATAGTTTACCCACCAAACGAAATAAGAAAACAAGAGGGAAGAACAAAGCAAAAATAAATAAATAAAATAAAAAAAGCTTCAGTCAACAATACTTCCATCATGATCCAATTACTCGGATAAAATATTTGAGAGACAAGTAGGGGGTGACAAAAAGAAAGTTCCTTGTTTGTTTAGCTTAATGTGGAATTCACATCTGCACCCCACAAACGCCCCTAGCACATCCCAATTGTGTATTGGGAATATCTCCCACTGACAACTTCAGGAGATGTTTCCAATGTGCGCTGAGATGTGCATGTGGGGCATTTGTGGGGTGCAGATGTGATCTCCTTAATGTATACCTATGTTTTAGAACTGTCAACGGTCAAAGTCTGGTTTGGGACAGGATAGAACTGTTTCGAATCGACTATTAAACTGATAGTACTGGAACCAAACCAGACCCGATCGGTTCTATTATTTCACAATTTGTACTGAACCGATGAGTCAATCGGAACAATTGGGTTAGACCCAATTGGACCCGATTAAATAAAAACCCATACTTAAGATGGTAAGACCTGTAGTTTTTGATAAACTATTCTATATTAATAAAAATCTATATAAAATTAATTAATATTACTAATGAATACAACAACAAAAAAGGGCTTACTTGATGCTAGTTTGATAAGAAAAGAACATGTTGTTTGTCAAATTGTAAATAGCCTACGATCCTATATGATTTCAATTTAACCTTACTAAAAGCAAAATAATAGCAATTAAATTGAAGCTAATGAGAAAAAAACTAAGCAGACCTGCATATATCGAGTGATCTTGAAATCAAATTGCCTCCTTATTCAAGAATTGAAATATCCAGCAATTAAGCTAGAGCCCACTTGCTGTCCATTTATCTGGTACTCCCAGTCCCAGGTTCACATGGGTGGCATTTAAACGGTGATAAGCATTTTATTTTCTAGACCTTAGTGTGTAGGGATTGATAGAGATGAGAGGTATCCGTTGCCAAACAATGTCTCCTCCCCTCAAACTATCCTGACCCATCTACAGGCTACAACCTACAACATCATCAATACTGTTAGACAGTTGTATGCCCTTAGCTCCAATCAGAATGATGTACATTATGAATTTATTGTAAATGAATAAAGTACATATTTGATTTATGTTCCT